CTCTCTCTCTCTCTCTCTCTCTCTCTCTCTCTCTCTCTCTCTCTCTCTCTCTCTCTCTCTCTCTCTCTCTCTCTCTCTCTCTCTCTCTCTCTCTCTCTCTCTCTCTCTCTCTCTCTCTCTCTCTCTCTCTCTCTCTCTCTCTCTCTCTCTCTCTCTCTCTCTCTCTCTCTCTCTCTCTCTCTCTCTGTGTGTGTGTGTGTGGTGTGTGTGTGTGTGGTGTGTGTGTGTGTGGTGTGTATGTCTCTCTGTATATCCCCTTGCCTCCCTCTCCTCTGCCACTCTATCTATCTCTCTATCATATCTCTCGATCTCTCTCTCTATATATCTGTGTGTGTTGTGTGTGTGTGTGTGTGGTGTGTGTGTGTGTGTGTGGTGTGTGTGTGTGTGTCAGAGCGCGCGCGCGGAGACGCGCGCGAGGACCCGCCTATGCCTCCCGCGCGCGCGCAGCGACCGAGCCAGAGAGAGACCGAAAGGTAGTGAATGAGAGAGAGAGAGAGAGAGAGAGAGAGAGAGAGAGAGAGAGAGAGAGAGAGAGAGAGAGAGAGAGAGAGAGAGAGAGAGAGAGAGAGAGAGAGAGAGAGAATGGCAATAGTAAAAATTTCAGCAAATGTGAGAAGATTCCACACCAATGTTGGAAAACTAACTCACCAGTTCGTAAATAAACAAAGGCTGACATTGTATTCGCAGCTGAAACTTTTGATGACAGTATTCCGTCCAACTATGCACGTATTTTGCGATATCCAAATTGGGGAGGAGGAATTGCACTATGCTACAAAATAAGCCTACAGCTGCAGGTAAGATCTTCCCTTACCAGACGGCATTGAATTCATATTTTTCAGACTGGTGGACAAGGAACGGCACGGTATTCTTCGTGGATGCTATCGGCCACCATCACAAGAGACACTACTTAGAGATTGCTTAATACAAAACCTTGATCAGCTTATGACCACCTATAATTGTTATCATATTGTATTATTTGGAGACCTAAACCAACATAATCTGATTTTTAATGGTAATCCATGACCTATAGAACTTTGCTGATTTTCCAACACATAGTTCTGGATCGTTTCTAGACCCAGTTGTCACTGACCTACATTTCCATTCGATAAAGTCTGTCCCACTTGGTTATGTCGGGACATCCGACTACGAAGTTGTTTTAAAAAAAGAATAGCTTAAAAACACCTAGGGAGGAGACTACATCAAGAACGATGTGGAAGTGGAATAACGCAAACTGGACAGGATTCAGAGAGGCTCTGTCTCATAGAAAATGGAATGGTGAAGTACAGGGTAACATAGATCAAAAGGTTAATTCCTTCACCTCTATTTTAATGAGGCTACAAAATCGTTTTGTATTCCATTTTAACTACTGATCGAAGCCCTCTGATCAATCATGGTCTGGACCTCAATGCAAAAGAGCCTCGGACATCAAACATGGATCTGGTATAAAGAAATTCTACAAACAGAAACAAGCAATTCCATAGACAGGCTGCGAAACAAACATACTCAGAAATGAGCCATTCAGCAATGGGGGAAAACTACAAAAAATAAATTAAAAGAGGGTAAAGTTGGAACAAATTTACGGTGGAACATGGTTAATGTGCGCAAAGGAGTTGTCATCTCTCAGTTTTTAACACATGCTTAAGCTTCTGCAAATGATCTACACTTTGGAAACAAAGTAATGTTGCCCCCATCTTTAAAAAGGGGGAAAATCCAGTAAAAAAAATGCCACTTTCCTTGCTGTCAGTCATCAGCAAGATATTTTATAAAATAATATCTTCCCACTTAACCACCTCAACCTCTACCCGTCAATATGGCTTTCGGAAGAGCCGACCTGAAGTTACAGATGACTGCAGACTGGTCAGCTGCACTTGACCGCTTACAACTCACTTGTATTCTTGCCTTGGGCATAGAGGGAGACTTTGATAGGGTATGGCACCTAGGTTTGTTATAGTTAAAAGCATTTGGAGTGGACGGTGAACTCCTGGTTCTTTTGAAAAAATATCTACTCGATAGGCAAATGATAGTAGTTCTCAATGGAAAATATTCTGCTTTCTACGGCATCAAAGCAGCTTTTCCTAAGGGAAGCATATTGGACCTTCTGCTGTGGAATGTCTTCCTCAGTGACTTGCTCCTCCTCATTCAAGGCAAAGCGGATGATGGAACACTATCCTTTAGGTATGAGCCCAGGGAACAGGATGCCGCCATAGAAAAACTAAATGACAGACTCGTATAAACCTCGATTTGGGGGGAGAAGGGCAGGTCTGCTTTGCCCCGAATAAAACCCAGCTTATGGTTGTCGAGAGGACGAACAGTGATGTTCAAGTAAACTTCAGTGAGAAAAAAATAAGACCGCAAGAGGAAATTAAAATACTGGGCATCACATTTGACAAAAAAAAAGACTTTCAAAAGTCACATAGAAAGCTTGGCGAGATGGGCTTCGCAGAAACTTGCATCCCAAAGGAGAATCAGCTGGGTGTTGGACGGTGAAAGGAAGGAGCTCCTCTACAAGGTACAAATTCGCTCTTCACTCAAATACTTCTGCCTTGTGCCTCGCGTGGGGAGGAGCAAACATCACTAGCCTTATAATCTTGGATAGAATACAAGAAAGAGCGAAGAAAATCATCGATAGGATAGGACAGGACCCAACAGTACCAACTGAACATCGATAGCTTTCAACACAGGAGAGACGTTGCTGGCTTGACGACAATGTTCCACATCCATCACCAACACGTCCCACACCTGCAGCCAAGGAGACAATGAGCTACACGCCCCACGAGAACAGTGGAACGAGCGCCCGCCGCACTGGAGAAACCTCGTTGCTGCACGGCACAACACCAACGACAGTTTCTCTCCAGATATTCTAAATTATGGAATTTCTCATTTCTATCATCGATGTAGAAACTCCCTCCTTACAATCTTTCAAATGCAAATGCACATGTGCAAAGACCACTAATAGATAATTTTATGATTTGCATATTATGTGTTATAGTACATGAGTACGTGGCGCAATGAGATGAGGTCAGACTAAAAAAAAATAATTCCTTTAGTCTGTAAAAAAAAATGACTGTAACAAATGTCTAATAATTATAACCTAATATGATATATTTGTTTTTCATTGAAGTATAAAAAAGAAAGAAAAAGAGAGAGAGAGGGGGGGGGGGACTAATAACAATGCTTTGTTGATCCAGTCAATAAACAAATTCATAACGTCTCAGCAGTCAACGGGTGTATCCCGCTCGGCGAATTGGTCATCTCTGGCATCTAATACACCTGGCCCTATGCACAGCAGTATGCCAGGTAGCTTATCCATCATATCAGCCAATGCCTGGGGTTTTCAGACGAACATAGGGGATTTAACATATAAATTTATAATCCCACATAACCCTGAAATCATTGCTACCGTTGAGACATTCCTCAATCCTGATGTCCCTGCCACCTTTGGGAAAGTGGACGTTGTCACCGACGCGACGGGGCGGTTGGCACCTTTGGTGGCATTACTGTCTGCTTTCGTAATAATCTTGCGGTTCAGGTGATCCATGTGGACATTCCTGATCATCTGGAAATGATG